ATGGAAAAATTATCAATTATGTGTTTCACTGTACGAATTAGATGAACATATATATGTATATATAGCGTGCGTTTTTACAGAAAAGTCATCTTCGAAAGCAGAGCTTCAGGCTAGAAGTTAGTAGTTAGTTATGTTGGCTTAATGAAGAGATCATCCAATTATAAGCATGAAATTTAAACGTATCATTATAGTACGACGTCAACTTGAAGCTAATATACCTCCTAAACGGCCCAAGAGGCCATGTTAAATTGGCCACTTTGTGTCTAGAGTTAACTCTACCAATGCCCAGTGTATATATTCTAGAGGTATGCTGTATGGCGAACGATAAACACACAATAATAAAAACAAACCGCCAATCATGCCTGCTTGATTTAAAGATGATAAGATGGCATGCGCACACAACTAAGACCAATCAACATTGCGAGCAACTTTTTTTTATGAATGTTGGCTTAAGGGAACCTGTCAGTTGAAACACAAATGTTGCAACCAGGTAATCGTCAATACTTCGTTTTTCTAGTAAAACGTAAATTCTCTAATGAGTCATAAATAAACGTCGCCAAGAGCGACGTTAAGGTACACGTAACGATGACCAGTGATTGGTCCTGTACAACGCGCCACGAATGATCTACTATTATTATTCAATATACTGTTAGAATAAGTAAATGTGTTTCTTAATATGAGTATCTAAGTCGTCGTGTCTTCTTATTCGAGGACTAGCAGTTAACTAACTAACATTAAGTAACTGTGGTGTCACTGGTGAGCAGCTGCTCACATACGTTCATGTTTTAGCAACCAAACGTTTCTATTAAATTGCATTAAGGAAGTTTAGGAAAGTTAAACATCCCCTTGTGAACGAAAAAGTAAGAACCATTTGTTTCTTTCATGTTAATAATATTATACGATTATATAAACTAATTACAGCTTCCATAAAGTGCTGGTGGACGTATTCGTTGTGTCATTGATTTAATTTTTAGAAAATTCGCTAGCTATAACTTCACGAATTTTTGTCTCTCATAATTACAAACTACCGTATGGACGCTGATCGCGCAGAACCTACACGATAAAAAGTGAATTGACCATAGCTCGCTGTCTAAGTACTTCGCTCTTGCTCGATTTCATAAAATCAATCGAAGGGCTCCGTCAGTTTTTTACGCCGTCATCACGATTTGAGTATCTGGCTCAACGCAAAATAGCGATGATTGCCGCCCTCGTTTCCTTCAGTGTCGTACGAATGCGATATCTTCGGTGATCAGGCAATGGCTGATTGGAGTCGATTAAAACCAGATGACACCAGTTCTCATATAGCTCGTAGAACCCTAGACTCCAATATTTTATTGAGCACTAATATTGTATCACAATCTACGACTCGTCGAAAAGAACACAAGGAAACAAAAAAGAAAGGGATAAGCGACCTCTTAGACGGCTAATGAATAGGCCATCGTAAGCTGCCTGAACGGCTCGGGTGATGCGAATCTCTTCTGTGGCAGCTGTACGCTTGACCACGCTAACAAGCAGCAGAGCCGTGCACGTAATCTGAACTCGTTGTCCTGGCCCTATTTATCTCGTGGCGTAAAGTAGTATATTTGGTGACGGCATATCACTCGACATGCGGTATGGCCTACGTTTGCTGTTACATAATTAAATCGGGACATGCTCTCCAGCCAGAGCGAGTCGTTCATCGACAAGATGAATGATTCGTCTTGAAATAATCTAGCAGTTTACGGAAGGGCTAGAGGAGAGATTTGCTCGAAATGATTCCCTTGTTATCTACTAACAGACGACTGATTCATGGTCACTCTCATTTATTTTGCTATAATTAGTTTATGTAGGTGTGATCCAGTAGGTTCCAGTAGTTATTACGGATCGAAGAAACTGTGAGTTACAAATAACTATCTATTGTAGTATAGCGGTACCCTCACGGTAGCAGACCAAGAATAACAAATATATTATAAATGATGGAAGAAAAATTCACTAGTACCATGTCGTCTGATTGTAACTATGATGTTATTACTTTCCTCACTGTTGCTCTGCCCTAACTAGCGATGCCAGCATGGCTGATAGACCCCGTACACAATCTAACTAATGAGCATATAGTGGTACAAAGTATATGTATGTAATCTGAAATAAAGAAAGATCTAATACATGCCTTTGGTCTATATAGCCTGATGAACCAATACGATATTAAGCTAGCGCAAATCAAATACGACCATACATCCAATCGGCGCAGTCTCATCCAAGAAATCTAAGCCCACGTTTTCGCTACAAGCGTTTTCGCCAACGGCCAGCGAGCGAGCGAGCGAGCGAGTGGCAAAATAAGCGGTAGATCATACGATGAGTCACGTTACCTGTACAACTTGAAAAAAATCGACAGCGTAAGCTGGAGGCCTAGCTATGCCACTGAGTTAGAAACAATTAAGAATCGTAGGCTTTGTCAATGTTTGTAGATGTGTTTAAACAAAGCACGCAGACTGCATTTTCTTTCGATTGCATATAATCCGATTAGATACGAGCGTAAGTGATTTGTCAAGTGAGTCGTATGGCAAGAACATTGTCACTATTGGCAAAAAGAAACGGATCGGTACGTTCCGCATACAGTAAACAACTAACTATGAAAGCAAACGGCAACAGCGACCGCATCGATAGGGATATTAAGCAAGGTTTAGTCCATCTCGTTTACAGGTTGCAGCTTAAATGTATCGGTTTTTTTGTACTATAATTATTGAAGTTGCCCAATACAATTTGTACTGCAGCAGTAAGTGCAGAACGTATGCAAGTCTGAAGTGTTACCGTCCTAAATATAATTACTATAGCTATATTCATTTAATACGGTAAAACACCTTTATACACACGTGTATATCGTACACGATGTAAATATTTCGTACGAAAGTTAATCGTCTGTAGGTCTACAAAAAGAAAATAGCTCGGACTTTTACTAAAAGGGCCTTGTGTAACGAGAATTGTCAAAGCACAGAATGAGCTCGAAAGAGTAAAGATCTTATCGAAACGTTTCAAAAATATGTCAAACTATCGGCGATGTCGATTGTACCACAGCTGCATCTCATGCGCACGACAGAAAATACACGTTCTCTTTGTCTGCCTCGCCACCTTGAAATACAAGTATATCTTAAATAGACTTCAGGTAGATATTGAGATTAGGCTTAGTAATATATGTAAATACTAAAGCAGGGACCAGCCCAACTAGCGGTCACCAAGTGTATCAAACTTTGCTTGTTCTGTGAATATAAGTTACAACGATAACTTTGCTCTTAAAACTTTCACGCCTCAAACATCCGAGCAAACTTCATGTGCCGAAATAATGGCTCCCTATTATTAGACACTCAACTATAGCCCGTGAATCTATTATAAGAGCAGTAAAAAAGTCTTGTGAAAAAAAAAAAAAACTTTAACCGCATCCAGTCGAGCTCTAGGTTAATTTTCAGGCCGTCAACTGTACCGCGAGCCAACTTCTTACGTCAAGTCACTTACTATACGGCAAAAACTATACAACGAAGCCACAATGGAACATCAATGAAAACGCTAGGACAAATCGTCGTAATTCTACCACATCAGGAAAATTTAAAACCCGAATGTACTGTAGGAAGCAAATAACAGACACACGCTGTTTGACTCGTCATAGTCTGACCGTTGAATTAACATTAGTGCAGTATTGTCATCCCCTCGCATTAATTCATACGCAGTCCTCTCATCTTCCGTTTCATCACGTTCAGCCAGTCTACATCTTTCCACCTCCTTCCTCATCAAGCCAGGTAGTCTTTCGCGCTTTTCATTTTCCCTCCTTCGTTCGCAGACAGCATTACCTGACCGATGCAGTGTGTGCGATCTATTTTCCATCCGACCGACCGCCTTTTTTCTATCCCTTTGTATCCCGATAAATAAATAGATATGAATTAACGCAGCTGATATAACTTAAATTCAAATCGTCAACAACTACCACGAGCGCCACCATTCGTGTCTTGCCTCTTCGTTCGCGTTGCGGAAAGCATAGCGCAAACGGTCCCTAGTACCCCGCGACCCGAAGAGTGTTAACGGGATGATTGGTGCGGCGAGCCTTCTTGAAGGAGCGTCGCCGTCCCTGCGTCGCTATAAAAACTGACCGGTGCGCACGACCGGCCAGCACGGAGAACACAAAGTGCGCGCCAGAGCTCTGTCATCACAAAATACCTTTACCGCCGGTTGTTTCAGCCGTCACAGTTGTCAACGGCTGGGCTTTTGACGTAGGCAACCGGCAGCTGCTGCTGCTGCTGCTGCTACCGGCCGTGCTTCTCGTTCATGCTATATATTTCGATGGATCATCTGTCGCCAAGTTCGGTCAATGTAGACAGAACCGAGACGGCGCTACAGCGAATCTACAATACGTGATACTCTCATTACATTGTATGAAGCGGTGATGACGATGACAAGCCATTACGTTGCCGCCGGTCGCTAGCAGCAAGAAAAAAGTGTAAAACAACAACCAAATACACTTGAACGTACACGAATATTAATACTGTATTAGACAATACATAGACATCTTGCTTTGACATTATTACAAGCAAACTGATGAGAGGCGTCTCCCTTTAGGTGATTCGAACAGTGATGTTAAAAGTAAAGTTCAGCAATGGCGGGCGTCTAACGATTTTTCACTGAGAAACACAACTGCGCTTCATCCGTTTGTGTGTTTGTATGTCCACATGGAGATCTACACATATGAAGCGAGATAAAGTTCTAAACTGATACAAACTTCTCTTACGTTCTTCAACAGGATCGTTGCATTGAAACACTCACATCTGTGTCATTTATTTTTTTATCCATACTAGGAAAGATGTTGTTTTCTTAATCCAAAGTCGAGCAATGCTGTGATTGCCATAGTTCACTCGGTGGATGTTACTCCCTGCCTCATTTGTTGAAGTTACCAGAAGTGAAACACAAAAAGGAAATAAATAAACAGTATATCTAAAACACCAACGTCCAAATGTCCCCTTTCTTTATTTTGGTCTCGGTTACGTTCCAGGCTTTGTTAGCGAGCTTATTGGCAGGCTAAACTGGTTTAATCCATGAGCACGGGCCAACTTACCAGTATAAAATTTATTGGAGTAAAATGCCCAAACGAAGCGGCCCACCCGCTACATAAACAGAAATTTCTTATATATTTTAATAGGTAGTACTTTAGAATTGTTGCTAGCCGTATGATTTTCGAACGAACTAAGCTAATATGAAAATCTTATGATCGAACTGACTAAACAGAAGTTTTATGCGTGACGAATAGCCAACGCCGTCGTCTACTCTGCTGTTTACGAAGTAGAGGCTATCAGCACGGTGCTATCGAGACGATGTATCAAATAGTTAGAAACGTTGGAAAGCGACATGTGACCGTTTTAGGGAAAAAGGAGATCCACCGCTGTAATACCTAGAATTAGCGAAAATACGTTATACTAGTTGAAAATATTCTATAAAAAGTTACTACATTACTTTGCCTTTAAAATTCAAGCCTGAGCTACCTTGCAAGAACTGACTTTAAATGTTTTAAGACGACGACAAGTAAATCTATTTGATACGAGTAGTTTCAATACCCTAGAAAACGTTTGCGTCCTGGTGGGCCGCTAGTTACCCTTATGTAATATTGCATAGCCTTCACATTTCTAATCTCCGTTAACTAGTCACTCAGTCTTCAAGCAGAAGCTGCTAAAAGAAGACAATGGTAGATTCGATCACTTAGCGAGTGATATTTTGTTCTTAACGTGTGTGCTTTGTACTCGGTTGTAGAGCTGTCACGTAATGAGCTTTTCTGCAAATCGATCTCTCAAGATAGCGCCATCTATAAACATAAAGAAAACGCAACACAGCAATAGCCGAATTAATTAAGAAATAATAGCAAAACACTTGGCTCCCTAGGCGAGACAGCAGCTAGAGTGCCCCCTGTTACCTAAACCTCGATATTACGTCCGTAGTTGCACGACTGAAAAGAGCGCCGTTCTGCATTATATATATATATATATATATATATATATATATTAATATATTGAGGTACTGGATAATTTATCGTGAAGTTCAGAACTTCATTTGTTTGTCTTCCTAAACCTAACAATGGCTTGTTCTTCTCGCAGATCATACCCAGCGCCTTAAACGCTTCTATTTCCAACTTTCAAACCTGGGATAAAGCATTACGTAGTCAATGTACATGGTAGCTTAGATATCATGACGCCACAAGATGTCAGGGATGTCGCCTAATAATATTACGAACAAAAGCGGGCTGAGGTTCTATCGTTGGAAGGACACCCCGATGCTTGCAGAACACTTTCGTTGTCTGCAAACATCGTCGCTTAGAATTAAAATATTTGCTTTGAGAAGGTCTACAAGCAAGTAAAGATTCCCAGTTCAATCCCGACGTTGCCTTGCAGCTTCTGGAATGGCTGATCGCCCGGGGCGGTGTCGAGCGCTAATCTATAATCGATAAACACTGCTTACGGTAGTTTACTTCTCGCGTTAACTGCATTGATCAAGTATCTAGAAAGCATTTTAGAAGCTGTCATCGTTGATTTAATCGGGCGGGTCTAAGTGGCTAAACTGATGCATGTGTGCAGAGCGAATGTACATCACTCACCATCTTACTTCTACATCCTCAACCAACATTTGATTGTTTTTTCATCTTTTACGCCCGACACTGAAGCTGACAGACATCATTTCAGGCGGCTAGCCCCAGCATGAGACGAGATGTGTTTACACCTAGATTCGAAATTGAGCGCCCCATGTTTCGTTCACTTCCGTCTAGCAGGCGAACATGTCTGCCAACCGGCACATGGCGATGATGGTTGTAGACTTGCAACTCTAGAAGGCAATATATTAATATACAATTGCAGGATTACTCAACGTTAATAGCTTTGCAGACACGATCAAGCATCTACAAACTCAAATGTTTCTACGGTTTGTTTTGCAGCTTATTAAGTTTCTATTGTACGATTTGCAAATAGGGCACCTCACAATGGGTCGTCGTTGCCTACTTTTTGTGACTTTCCTTCAATAACATTTTATTCATAACACCAAAAGCTGTGCCATAATGTAAAATTCGTCTAGAGCCGTTCTTGTCATAAACCACGTCGTCTGCAGCTTTTCCTAATAGCAGTGCTTTCAGCAGCAGACAACTTTAATACCAGGAAGGTTTACGACCCATACAGAGTTCGTCGTTCTCTGGAAATACCTTCTTCGCAAACTTTACGTTGTGAAATAGGACTTAAGGGCTTATGAAAAAGCTAATGAAGAAGAGCTAATACAAATCTATGACTTGTTCCCTTTTATCGAAAATCGCTATAGTAAATCATTAGCCTTTAGTTGATTTCAAGACCGCTAGTCTATTTGGGATAAATTTTAGTGGGCTTTAATAAGAGGCCGCTTCACACTGCAGTTTTACATCAAGGCTGGGTCATATGCAAATGCACTGTACCCAATTTCGGCAACGAGTTTAAGCAGCTTAAAAAACAGGCCTGCTTTTTTCGATATGGAAGCTGGCTGGTTTAATATTGTCTGAAAATATTATTAAATCCGCAAAATGTCAATTCAAAGCCATTTGTGGATACTATTTATAGACAATATTCAACATTGATCGTTACTACTTTATGCACAGCTGTACGATACAAAAAATGTTAGTTTTTTCTTTTTGGAAATTTCTTCCTGTCAACGAGTTTATATTGGCATTTAACAGCTCGAAGTGCTTTTATTCGTTTATCAACTTTATGAAAGATGGTGAAAATTATAAAATCTGGGCAAATATTTAACTCAAAAGGATTAACGTGGGATTTTTAGGCACACACACACACGAATCGCGCGGGTGAATCGGCAACCAAAGGGTAGAGGTGTTATCGACACCAGGGTGCTGAATGAACTTTTCCATTTGCCACTGAAGGCAAACTTGTTCTAGTTAATGTGGCTTTGATCCTAAGTGTATTTCTTTGAGAATAGCATGTTTACCAATAGAGAAAAAGAAAAAGCACAAGCTCACCCATTTTTAGTGCGTCTGTATTTGTCATAAGTTCGCGTTGCAGCTGAGTCCCGCATTCAGCCGAAATGGTGTTAGCAAGAATCCACGTAAAATGCCGTAGACTTGAAAGGGAAGGTTCAAGTCAGCGACCTTTCTTCAAAAAGGGTTGTCCCAAGGTTCAACGTTTACGACTTCTGTGCACTGCACGATAAGCATGCGGCACTTTCCAACGCAATCTTGTGTAAAGGCCTGAAACGACTGGGTCCGTATTGGTTTTCCGCCTTTTAAACATTCATGAAGAGTGCGTACGAAAATGTCGTCAATAGGCTAGCTAAAATGTTCGAGTATCCGAACATTTCAGTTCCCCGGAGATCGCAACAGTTGGACCCGTCGTACGGTGATTCGCGGAGTGTGCTCTATGAGGGCGCTGGTGTTCGGTCCAATAAAATTTAGTTTAACTTAGAAACTTAAGCTTACAGACCACTTGAAGCGTTTGCTGTCAACAACAGCAAGACAACGAGTTCTGTATTAAAAGTCACCTTCTCGGTTGATTTGTAAGTTTGCACGACTAGTCCGGTAAACAAATAAAACTCCATATACATGGACCCTTATTCTATTGAAGACGTTGAAGCAACACACGTTTTGTGCACAACTATAGGAGAATAAATTATCAAGTTATTTCCGTTTTGTTACACTAAACTATTAATGGTTCCCTTTACACAAGCATGTTGAAATACTGCAACCTAGACCAAACGAGTTTTACCTCGACGAATCGAAACATTAATCTCCGATATCGCTTATTTTAAACGCTGAAGTTACTCAAGCAAAAATTTGATGAATACAAGATTTCTTTAGCACCACTTGTATCGTAGTTGCGTTATGCAACGTGAGAGCATTTCTCTGATGGGTCTTTTTTTGAAAAGAAAAGTCTATAGATAAGGCGTCCTATGATTGGGAAGCACCATATAGTAATTTTTGCTAAAGTTAAATGAAAAAGAAATATTAAAGCGATAGCAAAAATGGCATAATATTTAAAAGCAAATTGGTAAACATTTTACGGGTTATCGCAAGCTCGGTTGAAACTGCTGTGGCAGTTAAAAATTTAATGACTCTCTAGTATTGTATGATATCTATTTCAACGTACAGCAATTATGTTCTTGTACGACATAGGTGCTTAGTAAACTCTAGTAACTTCATAAAGTTATCAATAGGCCCTATCTGATGCCTAGAGTGATTGAGCCACAAGCTGATCCCTTTATATAAGAAACAGACTAGATGAGTGCAGATAGAAGTACCAACTAACAAAAAATATTGTTCGTGTACACACAAAACCCTCAAAATTTCTACCCCTATCGCATTTAAATAAGATAAACCCTAAAAATGCCTAGAAGGGGTCCATAGTTGTATGTCAACTCCGCGACTCTGCATTTCCTAACTTACTCCAAAACCTGTATTCGCTGGCAACCTCTATCAGAAAGATCGCACAATGGGGCAATAGGATATCAACCTGCTCCATTGTCTGCTGAGCGGTTAGTAATGGCCTGTGTGTCTGACTTGTTAGATATGTACTATCAATGGTAATTCATTACTAATAGAGGACGTCTAACTAATTGCATAAACGAAAAATACGTGTGTGTTCCGCTTAGATGGAAACAACGGACAAGATCTGAAGGTTGACTAACCAAAAGATACATGACATAGTTTCTAAAGGAGACTAAAACAATCTGATCGGAAGCACGGTAATAGTTTAAGTGCAGCATTTACAACTATCTCACGTAATACGAGTAACTAATACCGGAGCGAATATCTGGTACGATATTCTACGAGATAAAAAAAAAGGACTACCAAAGCCATTCTGCGCAGGCTATCATGAAAATAGTTACTCACTAGCTCCTTATTTGCTCCTTTTCAATTATGTAATATATTATTCATATCGCCATTTTGATAATACTGCAACCATATTTTGGCTACATTTCAAGTCATTTTCAAGCCAATTCCTACAATCTAGGCCGGTTTTTTTTGTCATACAAAACGTATCGCATTGTGATCTAGGCATACAAGCGTCCCACAAGAAACTGATATATTTTACATAAATGCAACACACTGTGTTGTAATAGAACTTTGTAGTAAATAGGCTAATTTTCGTCTGACGTTACTCACAGTGCACTGATGTTAACATTTTCTGGCCGTTGTAGAACGCGTCTTAGGCGTGCCAGGCCGTTTGGCATGATAAGTCTGGGCTCGGAGAGTGCGTTGCACTCCATCAGCGGTCCACGCTTCGACATGCGGCACTGACACGGCGAGCAAATCGACGGCGGGCCGTTTGACGGCGATAAAACGGTTACTTCGGTGGCCGTTGTTGTTGGATTGGGCAAGGTCGTTTCGACTCCACCTATATCGACTCTGTCGGCAGCGGCGGCGGCGGCGGCAACGACGACGACGCCGCATAGCGCTGACACCAAAAGAACGTAGCTGAAAATCGCTGAGATCGAAGTCACGTTGATCAGAAATCGCGCAACAACTCCACGCACTTGTATCCAATACGGACAGGAGTCCATAGGCATCGCGGAACCGACGGCGCGGATGAGCGCAACGGGATCGGCGTTCTCCTCACAACTCAGTTCAATAACTACATTTAGATAGTTTCATGGACACTTCGCTCGACGAACAACGCACGAGGTCAAACAGGCACAAAGCACATTTTCATCCGACTCATATTCCCAAGCAGCAACGGTGGGGCGCGAAGTTTTCTTCTCTAAAGTCGGTGTGAAAGATTCTGTTTGTTACGATTTGTTTTCTCGTTGTTCAAGAGATATAAGTAAAGATATTTATTCACAGATCACCGCACACGATTGCTCACGGAGTAGTTTATGAAGTTATCTATTTGCCTGTATATTAATATGTGCAGATATTCTACGTACGAAAGCGATGCCAGTAAATCTACCCACCGTGAAACTCTACAAATTATTTACCAGGCCTAGGTACAGGACACCAAGTGATCAATTAGGTCTAACACCAAAGGATCGTAAGGTTTGTCGCTCTTTGCTCTTCAGTACGATACTACCATTCTTCATTCGCAAACATCTCATTGATCCCGAAGTCGGTCATAGGCAGTAGGTAACTCTGAGACGCTGGCTGATCTGAACTCTTATTCAATCTCCTACCTTTCTCATAGAGGATTCTTCTTACGAGTGTTTTTTTGCATGTGAATATAGCTGACGTATATATATATATATATATATGCTTTTGTCGAACTGCAATTACACAGATACAATTACAACCTCAGACCACTTTGACTGTTTCACTCATTGTGGATTCTGGACGGCATTCCCTTGGCCTCCATATGAAATGAAATCGGCCATAGAAAGAATTACGATGGACGGACAGGCGCACGGACGAATGATCGAAAGAATTACCGCCTCATTCTGTCGACTGCCAGTTCTCTTGGCTCTGCTCGGTCCGCTGATCGTCGATCGATCTATTACATTACAAAGGAAGCAGCGTATGTTGCAGTGATGGTCATCATGCTACACTGGCTGTTGGTCCGCCACTGAATTGCTCGTTAGCCGCTTTCTGTCGTTGTGGGGTTGAGCGTATCGCAGAATGGAGTGGGGATGGGGACATTCACGTGGTCCGCATCGGCCGGCGTCGGTGTTATCAGCTTGTGCCTGCTTGTTGAGCAGTTTAACGTGCACTGCTACCGCTGCTGGCTAGAAGCTCCAGTCGGTGGCTAGAACCGTGTTCGAACAACTGGAGTCAGGACCATCCGCTGTTTTCGACGGCGGCGGCAGTGGCAGCAGTAGGACAAGCAACATGAACGACGATGACGCTCAAATCTAACTGTGGTGTCGTTGCCAGAAGGCAGTGGCAATATCACGCACTAGCTGATTAGCTTCGGCGCTCAAAGAAGCGAGTTCCGAAACCCAGCCGGAGTATCGCCTCGGGGCTCTGCAATTGACTGACTGTATACCAACGCTGACCAGTGTTCCCGATCGATCAACAGTGGCTGGTCTTAGCGCCAGCAACAACAAGCATCTATCTACCGTTTGACCATAACGAACAACAGGAACTTAACGATACAGCAACGTCAAGAACCCACCGAAAATCGTATACTTGTTTTTTTCTACCCTACAGTAGCACCATTTCTACTGCCAACAACTTGGACACAGCCGTCAGATAGCCGTCGTTGCCGCTACTACTCATTGTGTATCTGTGCTTCTGCAGTGAATGAGCCTGTTTAAGCTTGGGCAGGCTTCGGTACTCCTCCTGTGTTTAGGACTATCCCGACAAGTGCGGTCATCGCTAATCGGTAGCACACGAAGTGCCGATAGTTTTCCAGTGCTACGGCGATGTTCGGTTTACTGCTGCTGTTGTTGGACTGATGCGCGCTAGGGTCTGCGCGAACTCAAAATAGGACTCGACGATCCGGAGATTTATGCACAAACACCGCTTTCACCTTTGAGTTCTTCTGCCTCTTTTGCGTTAAGAACAACCACGAAAGCAGTGAACGCAACGCTACAAACAGCTTTAATCTGCTATGACAGTAATTGTTTTTGTTGTTGCCTCTTTAGTCAGCTGTGACTCACTCTAGTCGAACAGCAGCGACACGAGCTGTGACCGTGGCATCAGGAGCAGCCACTGCTAAAGCAACGATCACATAGTGATATTAGCAACGGGATAGCACTTCACTAGTATTTAGTCTGGCGACACATAGGGCAGTTGGTGCTGATAGGAACAGACTCTCAAGACAATTACAAGCGTGAGTATTCGCAGAAAGCACAAGCCACAGTACAGATGAAGAAACGGTGAACCGGAACAAGGCCAGCACACAGGCGAACATGGCAGGCCAGCTCAAGCAGGAATCTGCATTTGTCGCTTACTGATAGGTAGCACTGGTTATGACACTAATTACAGTGGCATGACTAGTCAGTACGATGAAGGCTTCCTTCGCCTGATTATGCTGCTTTTCCGCGCTGCTGGCGAGGTAGCCTGTTTGTCCACCTGCTTCTTTCGCTGGCCTACTCTTCTGGATCTGTGCCGACTATTTTGTGCTATTCTTGAACGTGTGTATATATCTTTTCGTGCCTCACTGTGTGTTTCGTATGTTTCGCCGCTTAGTGATAATGATGATGATATGCGTTTGGTTTGCTTGCAACCCTTACGTTTCGCGCGCACCCCGCAAGTCTGGACGTCACTGATACAGTTGCCAGAGGGAGGCAATGACCTGGCACTCGCCCTAGCGCCGACCAGCGCTCGGAAAGGGCTCGTCGAAAAGTGGAGAGAGCCTCGCACTGGAAAGGGACACAGCGCAGGCGAGGTAACTCCGATGCAGCTCCCTAAAGGGAAGGGGAACAAAGGCGCACACTGCATGCGTGAATAGAACAAGCTGGAATAGGATAGGCGGTCAGCTAAACAAGGAGCAGCAGCTGCAACTGTGGCATAAGCTGTAGCTCCTTCTAAGGGTAAAACCAGTGCGAGGCCATTAAGATGAGAACAACGCAATGACAAGGGCTATAAAGTTGAAGAAGATGCGTGAATTAATGAGGAGTTAGCACTGACAATTTGACAGTTGGCGGCGGCGTTTGCGTCCTTGATCAACAGTAGTCAACGATCCGTCACAACTTTAAATTTCGTTGGAGATTTTAGCGAACGTATTGATTTGTATCTCTTTATGTCTAAAACAACTATACTGTTTTAAAACGTGAGCGTACTTCTCATGCACGTGTATCCCTTCAATTTGCTTATTGTCGTATTGTATTTATTGAAATTCGATGAACTCAGTTAGCAGTAGTGGTAAAATTTTCGAGGGATATGGCTTCGACAGCCGGCACACTTAAAATATCCCTCGGAATCTAGAATTCTAAATTGAAAACGATGTGTCCATACATTCGTTATAGTAGGTAGTCATAAGATTTTTAATGATTTATGCCCCAGTTAAAATGCAGTGTGTTGCGTGTTTGCCTGTTGAACATACAGAGATGTAACGGTATCCGTTTGAAATAGTGCCTGACCAATATTAATTTTATTTGATTTCAAGGCAGTAAAACAAAGGATATGCTGTACCAGGCCTTTTTAAACTATCCCTTCATCTTCAGATGTGATAACAAAACAATCGAAACTAAAGTACTTTTTGAAATTGCATATATGCAGGAGCCTGTTCTTCACAAAGAACGCCGTCGGGCCTTGACAAACTTCTGAGTACGCGATTTAGAATTAGCATTACAGATGAGCAAGTAGGCAAGGCCGATAAGTATGCAGGAAGGGCTTTAGCTTAGAAGATAACCAAAAAATGTTTGACTACGCATTCCTACAAACGCATTAGGCCGGAATAACGGTTTTGGCAATTTTTTTTTACTGAGGAAAGCCCACGCTCTTTTTTTTATTTCTGCGATAATAAATTATTGTGGGACGTATCCTCCTTCCTTCAATGTTCACGACTTGTTCTTGTCTTTTCATCAAATACTATATGCCGTCTGCCCAGAAGATGGCGGGTTTTTTTCTTAAAAAACTTCCCAACCACACTTTGAGCTCTTGACCTATATCGAAGCTGGTTGCCCTAAGGCGAAAATCCGATGGCAAAAGCGTGGGAAAATATAGAGGGTAAACCTCCAGATTCGAAGTCCAGGAGGGCAATTCTGACGATATTTGCCGTATACGGCCTTGCGTTGGTCTGGTAGAGGACGACTTGACCTCGTCTGTCATGCCTTTTTTCTTGAATAACCTCGTTGATCCGATGCAACTACGCTGAATAAACGTGCAGATCAACTATATCGTTAGTAGAAAGTATTTGACAGTGAACCAAGCCCTTGCAGTTGCACCAAATGTAAAACACAACTCTTGTTTGTTTAGCTGAAGATCTGGTTATTCCCTGATCTCTGACGTCTTGCCTAAAGCCATCGATCTTGGTCTCTAGTTTAATATTGGCGAACAGACATCACTTCTCGTCCCCAACTGTGGCCGCTTATGCTCAATACCAGGTGAAATGTTGAGATGAAGCATTAAGCCGTAATTCCTTTTTGGATTCAGAAAATTCCAAGTTTCCCTTTAAACCAAATGGACGTGGGACGGTTAATGACGGTTTTGTGGCTGTAGTCAATAGTTTTGGCCCATCCTCAAGCTGTTTGTAAGCCGTTTTCCTCCGTTTCTTTAGACGGTTATCACCAAACTCAGGTTGTCCGTCAAAAGGGGGGGGGGGGTATTCTCCAGGTTCTCTGCACACGTACAAAGGGTGGCTAGTTAATTAAGACCATTGGTTTTTAGACATTTGCTGAGCTTGTGGGCTCATACGTTTGGAAACATTCCAAGCAGTCTGTTATTCGGAATACCGTAAACACTTCCACATTACAAAGATGATTGCCCAAAGCGTGATAATTGTGCATCCTGTCCCGAAGCGCATTAGAATTATTAATACTTTTTAGCCTAAATTCGTTGATGTCAAATTACGCTTTGTATTGCAGCGGTATAATCGTTTGCGGAATGGTGTTGCGGTGGATTTACTACAATTCACAGCAATACGGTATATATATTACTTAAGTCTGCTGGATTAGCAGGTGTTCGCGTATTTATTTACTTTATTCTATAATACGTAGTCTCGACTGAAAAATCGGATATGCCAAAATCAAGTTGTGTCGAATATTGGGTCGAGAGAAAATTTCATCACCGATGTTCAGCAGAACTTAGGCTTAAACTGACAAGGTTCACAAAAGAATCCTGAACAAGCGCCAGGCACGCAGAAGATCGACTAACTTCAATGTTGTCCAGAATTCCTACCGTGGTCACATTAGAGAAATATCGAGCTATCTCATGGAATCAATTTCGACCGTTGACCGATTCCGGATAATTTTTTTTTATGGAATTCGCTCAGTCGAATACATACTTCCAGTAAAGCTTGACATGCACAGCTCAATACAACAGGCAAACTAATGGTAGATATCATGTTGACTGTGAGCGCAAACTTTGGGCTCGAAGCTTGTTATCGATGTGCTAAATCCGAGACAGATGTCAATTGCAGGTCACGTCAGGCAAGCAGCTTGTGCGGTCGAGAGGCCGATTCATCTTTTGATAGCTATATTTCTTCGGAAGTCCTAGGTGTTTATTTGATCTCACGTGAGCGTTCAGACCACCAGCCAGCCGCGTAATGTTGGATCGTAGGGTTCACCGTAAATATGCTGTCATCAGATAGAGTTTGTTGCCACCCTGCTGTCGAGAGGTGACAATAAATTTTCGAATGATCTTCAGAACTTTGGGTATTTCCGCAATTCTACAAATTGAATCAAATAACGTTTGCAGGCACTACTTCTCTACAGTACTCTATAGTAATTAACTTACATTTCTATTAAGAGAGTTACCTTTCGTTAGTTAAGGTCTGTTCTCAGAGCGTTCGTCCGATGAAGTAAACTTGAATTCTGACTGAGTAGTAATTTTCCTTAAATCCCCTCAACCGTGAGCCCAATTCGAAAATGAAGTCTCAAAGTCCATTTAGTAGTCAGTAAAATACGAAACTTCTCTGTGCTTTATATCTATGACGAGGGATCATATAAATGAGTAATTAACGACGGATTTGTGGCGAAAAAGGGTCCTTGAAATTGTCACCATCAAATGCTCGCCAAAATTGTGCCCAAATAAGATGTGCAAAAAATGAAGAAGAACACATGTAGCCACAAAATGACAAAGGTTTCATATGTGTAGATACTACCCATTGCCAACTGGCAAAAAAAGCCACATCTGCCTTGTAAAATTCTTTCTTTGAGGCTTCATCGGACCTTATTACAGTTGGCTTCTCTACCATATGCTGAAGCGAGCTCAGCAACTTGGAATGTCAAAATTCACTGTTAAGCAAAAAAGCGAAAATGTGTGTACCCTTTAATAAAATTCGTATTTGATGACATGACATGGACATGAACGCTCAAGAGCACTAATGAACGTAAGTCCTTCTTGTAACAGTTTATCTTATATTTTAGTTAACTCCTAAAACGTTTCAGTTACGCGCGCACATAGACATAACCTTCATGTTCGTCTTAGCCTAAAAAATGGTGAAATCTTGCTCTAGATAACGTACTATAGACAAAAATTGTAATGTAAATGGCGTAGGCTAATTATACATCTAACGTTGTCCGTGATTTGTATATTAAAAACAGAGGGGCACTAGTTGGCCCTTGTTCCTACAAAATATTCGACGCTAACTACTACGACGCGACAGCACCACCATCACATGTTACTAAATTATATCAAGTAGCTAAGGTACCTACAACTGATAATGCCAGTTAATTTACTAAGCGTCCCTTTATTGAACCAATCGGCGCAAAGGATGCCTTGTAAATAGAACTTTTATATTTATATGCGCTTCTGTGCGATTCAATGACTCAGTGAAGCTTACACCCATAGCGCAGATATTTCTCATTTAATAATATTAAAATAATGGTAGTAAATTATTTGTTGAACATAGATTAACTCATATTTTTATTGGTCCAACTCACTGAATTGGTCATATTATCTGCAACGAAATCGTGAAGCTTATAGAAAAACGCCCGATGATTGTTATTAAGGGCATATTTTTTTGGCTATGGCATGTTCATTTGCATAATTCCTATGTGAGTGGAGCTTCACATCTCAATGCAGGATAGATTTAGTAGGTTTGAGCAGCATGCAGCAGGGTACGGCACGGCTGTACATGAACAAAATGTGCACAGATTATATACAAAATCTATTTCAAACATCTGTAACGATTACGAATAGGATTCAAAAGAGGGCAGTCGTCTCGATTTGTCTGCTTGTTGACTAATAGGCTAATAGAGATGAACGTGCTGTTCTTGAAAAGTCACGCCACATTTTTCCAAAAATAAGTACTCTATATTGTTGAGCCTTTGTTCGTTTATTCTATCCCTTAATCGTCTAGAGGTATGTCAACAAAAGTACATCGGTAAAAGTAATGTAGGAAGACGTTGTTTTGGGCCACTGTAGGCAGCCAACCGCAGTAGGTCGGCAAGATTGCACGGTACGTATTGACAGAAAAAACATTTCGAAGCTTCACTTGATAGAAGTTAAACAATTGCAGACAAAAATACTTCATTATCTACAGATTGATATGATATTTTTCATGTCTCTAAGTTGTCAAGAAACAATAAAAAATGAACTGTATTTATTGGTCACTGAGCCCAAAGTAC